TAATGGGCATTTTTGTTTCATTCTTGATCTTACTGGGATGACTTCTAGCTTGTCCCCATTACAAATAATGCTTGCTGATGGTTTTAGGTAGATGCTTCTTATCATTTTAAGGAAAAATCAATTTATACTTATGCCTTCAAGTGTTTTTAACAGGAATGAGTGTGTATTTTGTCAAAAGCCTTTTCTGCATCTATTGATATAGTCATGATTTTTATTACTTTTGTTATTGATATGTAATCAATTATTTTAATAATTTTGCTTATGTTAATTCATTTAGACATTCCTGGTATAAATCCCACTTGCTCACACATAATCTTTGTGTTATATTGTTGTAATGTCCTAGCTAATATTTTATTTAGGATTTTTGCCTCTGTATTTGCTAGTGAAATTGGTCTATAATTTTCTTTGTTTTTGCTCTTCTTGGTTTAAGTATCAGTACCATATTTGTTTCATAAAAGGGGTTTACAGGGGCCACTAGGTGGCGCAGTGAATAGAGCTCTGGCCTTCAAGTAAGGAGGACCTGAGTTCAAATCCAGCTTCAGACACTTAACACTTACTAACTGTGTGACCCTGGGCAAGTCACTTAACCCCAATTGCCTCACCCAAAAATAAATAAATAAACAAATAAAAATAAAAGGGGTTTATTGGGATTCTTTCTTTGCCTTCTAGTTATTTATTTAATATTGGAACTAGGTGTTCTTTAAATGTTTGGTAGAATTCACTTATAAATCCATCTGGTCCTGATGCTTTTTTCTTGGGAAGCTCATTTATGGCCTGTTCAGTTTCTTTTTCTAAGATAGGTTTATTTAGGTATTCTGTTTCCTCTTCTGCTAATCTAGGAAGTTTATATTTTTGTAAGTATTCTTCTATTTCACTTAAATTGTTAAATTTCTTGACATAATTGGGCAAAATAACTCCTAATTTAATTTCATCTTCATTAGTGGCATACTCACCCTTTTCATTTTTGATACTAATGATTTGGTATTCTCTTTCTTTTTAAAAACATTAACCAGTGGTTTATCTATTTTATTGGTTTTTTTTTTTCCATAAAACCAACTCCTAGTTTTATTTATTAGTTCAATGATTTCCTTACATGCAATTGTTACTAATTTTACCTTTAATTTTTAGAATTTCCAATTTGGTTTTTAATTGTAGATTTTTAATTTGTTCTTTTTCTAGTTTTTTTTAATTGCATACCCAATTCATTGGTCTGCTCTTTCTTTATTTTATTGATTTAAGCATTTAGAGATATAAATTTTCCTCTGATTGCTGCTTTTACTGAATCTCATAGGTTTTGGTGTGTTGTCTCATTATTGTTATTCTCTCTAATAAAATTATTTATTGTTTCTCTGACTTGTTTTTTAACCTACTCATTCTTTAAGGTTAGGTTATTTAGTCTCCCATTAATTTTTAATCTGTGTTTGTATGGTTCCTCATTAAATATAATTTTTATTGCCTTATGATCTGAAAGGATGCATATAGTATTTCTGTTTTTCTGCATTTAACTAAAGTTTTTATGCCCTAACATATGGTCAATTTTTGTAAAGGTACCTTATACTACTGAGAAAAAGGTATATTCCTTTCTATTCCCATTCAATTCTCTCCAGATAGCTATCTTATCTAAGATTCTATTTGTCTCCTTGATTTCTTTGTTTATTTTTTGGTTAGATTTATCTAGTTATGAGAGGGGAAGGTTGAAGTCTTACATTATTATAATTTTGCTATCCATTTCCTCCAGTAATTCATTTAGCTTTTCTTTTAAAAATTTGGATGCCATAACATTTGGTGTTTATAGGTTTCATATTGATATTATTTCATTACTAATCTATAGTGCCTTTTAGCATAATTTAGTTTCCCTGTTTATCTCTTTTAATTAAATCAATTTTAGCTTTAACTTTGTCTGAGATCTACTCCTGCTTTTTTTGCATCAGCTAAAGCATAATAAATTCTACTCCAGCCTTTTATTTTTACTCTATGTGTACCTCTCATGTATAAATGTATTTATTGTAAACAACATATTGTAGGATTCTGGTTTTTAATCCATTCTGCTATCTGTTTTTGTTTTATGGGTGAGTTCATTCCATTTACATTTAAAGTTATAATTACTAGTTGTATGTGTATTTCCCTTCATCCTATTTTTTCCTCAGTTTATCCTTTTCTCCATTTCTTTTTACTCTATCCCTCCTCAGATGTTTAATTTATGTCTGATGAATGCTTACCTCCTAAGAATCCTTCCTTTATCCTCACCCCTTACTGTCCCATTCCTTAATCTAGCAACTCTTCTGAGAGTCCCTCCCTTATCCTATTCCCTCCCCCTTCCATTTTTTGTAAGTTAAGAAGACTTTTATACCTTTCCAGATGTATATGTTATTTCTTCTTTAACACAGTTCAACTGCAAATAAAGTTCTAGCATTTCCAGACCTCCATTGTCTTTTGCCTCCACTGTAACAGTTCTTTCATTCACACCTTTTTTTGTATGAGATAATTGCTTCTTCCTACCCAGTTTTATTTCTTAGGATCATCCCTTCATATTCAACTCAACCCCAAGCCTTCTATCTATGTATGCTCTTTTAAACTACTCTAGTAATGATAATATTCTTAAGAGTTATATTTTCCCATATAAGAAGTAAACAGTTTGACCTTATTAAATCCCTTATAATTGGTCTTTCACATATTTACTTTCTTATGTTTTTCCTGATTCTTATACGTCAAAATTTTCTATTCAGTTCTGGTCTTTTCCTCACAAATACTTGAAAGTCCCTTAATTCATTAAATGTGATTTTTTTTTTCCATGAAAAATTACACTCAGCTTTGCTGGGTAGGCTGGTAGGTTGTAAACCCAGCTCCTTTGCCCTTCTGAATATCTTGTTTTATACCCTGGTTTTTTAATGTAGAAGCAGCTAAATTTTGTTATCCTGATGTAGTTCCACGGTATTTAAATTTTTTTTTTTCCTAGTTGCTTGTGATATTTTCTCCTTCACCTGGGGGCTTTGAAACTTAGCTATAATATTTCTGTGAGATCTTGGGATCTCTTTCAGGTGGTGATTGATAGATTTTTTTTTTCATCTATTTTACCTTCTAGTTCTAAAACTTCAGGACAATTTTGCATGGTAATTTCTTGAAGTATAGTGTTTAAACTTTTTTTTTTTAATTATAACTTTCAGGTAGTCCAACAATTCTCATATTATATCTCCTTGCTCTGTTTTCCAGGTCAGTTGTTTTTCTAATGAGATGTTTCACATTCTTTTCCATTTTTTCATTCTTTTGATTTTGTTTTATTATTTCTTGGTGTCTTATGAAGTCGTTAACTTTTCCTTGCCCAATTCTAATTTTTAAGGAGTTTTTTCTTCCATAAGTTTTTTTGTTTCTTTTCCAATTGGTTGACTCTCTTTTCATGATTTTCTTGATTTTCTTGCATTACTTTTTTCTCTAATTTTTCTTCAACCTCTCTTTTTTGATTTTTAAAGTACTTTTTAAGCTCTTCTGAGAACTCATTTTGGGCTTGTGGTCATTTTACATTTTTCTTTGAAGTAACTTCACTTTGAAGTGACTTCACTGTCTTCTTCTGAGTTTGAACCCGCATCTTCTCTGTCACAATAGTAGCAATCTGTGGTTGAGTTTTCTCTTTTGTTTATTTATTTCCCGCCTCCCTCCAGCAGCTTATTTCTTAGCTGTTAACTTTGTGTTAGAGTCAAGCTCTAGTCCCAAGGCTTGGAGGATAATGTCTCAAACTTCAGGTTTTTCATTTTATTGTTTTCGGAGTTCCATCTAGGGGCCTGACCTCAGGTACTCCTCTCTGCCCCCAAGTTGCAAACATGGCCCCCAGCAACATTGTCACCACAAAAACTCTTACTCTCTTAGCTCCCTTCCTCGGTGGCAAGCTTGAACGTGCCCTTCTGTCCTGGAACCGAAAACAAAAACCCTGTTCTGTGAGTGACCACAGCCAGTAGGGCCCCACTCTCTGCAACCGTGCTCACTAGTGTGCACTTCTCTTCCTTGCTCATAGCCACAGCCTGGGACTATCTCTCATCAGTGCATCTGGGTCCCATGTCCAGTGCCAAAGGAGGGCTCCTGCAATTTTCCCCTGATCAGCCGTCCAATCCCTACACTATTTATAGGGAGAAAGTTCTTGAAGCTGAGGCTGCTGCCAACACAGCTGCCTTCAGAGCTTGTTGATTCCGGAGTTATCTTCTGGGGGGTATCTGCGTTTCACTCTGACAGACCACTACCTCAGGAGGTCAGATCTTTCCTAACATCCTCCCAAATTGTCTTAGGTGCACAACTGCTTTACCTTGACTTTTAACTATTTCTGCCACTCTAAACTTCACTTTGAGGCATTATTTTAAATTATTTGGGGAATTTGGGAGAACCAGGTAAATTCCTGCCTCATTCTGCCGTCTTCCCAGAATCCTCATGTTTCATAGAATCTTAAAACTAGAAGGTGTTTCAGAGGTTTTCTGTTCCAACTCTCATCCAACCTAAAGCATAAATCCCTTCTGTAACACCCCCAAAATTGGTCACTCTAAATCTTTCTGGAATGGGGCTGTTGAGGCAGCTATTTCCATTTTGGGATAGCTCTTACAAAGTTATGTTGAGCTGAAATTTGCTACCTTGTTCTTCCTACCTATTGATGCTAGTTCCACTCTCAGTTCTAAGTACAAGTCTAAACCCTTCTTTCCATGTCAACCTTATAAATAACCAAAGATTATAGTCGTAGTTCTCCTAAGTCGTTTCCAGGTTAAACATCTCCAGTTCATCCAACCTTATTTTGTATATCATGTTCTTTAGTTCCCTCAAAAGTTCTGTTGTACATTTTTCCTTGTGTTTTGTCTAGAATAATTTTTTATATTACAATAATGCTAGGTATATGGTATAAGCCCAAAGCAAAAACAACTGAAAACTGTCCTCTTTTCTGTTAATTCCTTTTTAATAAAGATTTGAGATTAGAATCATTAAAAGTAAACACTTTCACATCATTCAGTATCAATTTTCTTTTTCAGTGTAAAATTCTGGAACAGCGGTTAGAACAGGGAATGGTATTCACAGAATATGAACGCATACTGAAAAAGCGGCGGATAGATGGGGAATGTGCAATAGCACGACTCCCTGACAATGCGGAGAGAAACAGATTCCAAGATGTGCTCCCCTATGATGATACCAGAGTAGAACTGGTTCCAACCAAAGAAAACAATACTGGTTATATCAATGCATCACATATTAAGGTGAGATGAAAATTGATGGTAAGTAGATTTTTATAAATGATGGTAAGGTGATAGGGATAGAAACTGGACCTGGCATTTAATTGGTATAGGAAATTCCTGAGTGAGGAAACTTTCTGTATCAATGCATGTGTGTACTTTTTATGAAATTTATCAGCTTAGAGAGTTGCCTAGAACAGTGATAGTTTAAATGACTTCAAAGTTACATAGCCAGTAGGTTTCAGAGCTGGCACTTGAACCTAGGTCTTCACAGTTCTGAGGTCAGCTGTCCACTGCCTTTATCCACTACATCTTTCTGGTAATGTGACAATTATAATAATCTGTTTTTATATAGCCTGTTAAAATTTGCAAAATGCTTTTCTCACAAAAGCCAATGAAAGTAAATTATAGTGTATTATTATTTTCTTTGTACAAAGTAGAAAACTTAGAAATAGAGTATTTAAATGACTTGTCAGTGGCCACATGACTAGTAGATACTGAGCCAAAAGTCTCAAAATGTATTATGAGTATTAATTGTTTAGTATTAAAAATATCCTTTTAAGGCAAGTGGCTATTATTGTGAGCTCTAATTTACAAATGAGTAAACCCTTAAACCAAAATTAAATCTTGTTCAAGAGAATACTTTAAGTAAAGTTATGTCTGTTTGTTATGTGGCAAAGTAGTCTGCTTCCCAGGTAAGTACTGTGAACTCAGGATGCTTAAAAGATTTTTGCCCTATATCCAGGAGTAAAATATTGGTCTTTTAATCCATGTTTCTGTGTTCCTACTAACTTAAAACCTTTATCCTAGGTGTAGTTTGTCTCATAACATCCATGCATATATTTTCATATATTCAGACAAGGGTACCTCAGAATCAATCTTGGTGGTCATAGAAGCCATTCTCCCAGAAGGTACAGACTGTTCTGTGATGGCTTACCTTCACATGCTGCCTATAATCATTTCAGAACATTATTTGGCTCTTTGAAGAAGCAGTGCTACCTCCTTCCTGGAGACAACAGTGTTATGCCACCCCACCATAATAATGTCAGAATCATTAAAATGGAAGGAAAAAAAAAAGATGACTCATAATGAGTGGGTGAACCAAACCAGATGCTTCTCTTCTCTCCTTCCCCTCCTACTCTTGGCTCATATTGACACAGTATTTGAGGTCACTGTTTTCAAGAGAGAATTCCTTTTGGGCATTGAATAAAAAAGAATTTATGGGAGGATTTTTTAACCTCTATTCCATAATGCATTGTTTTATTTATACTGTTTTATTAAAGGAGGTTGATACTTTCATCCATAAAAATTCAGTTCCATTCTTCAGTGAGGCTTAAAATTGACTCTGGGTTCTCAAATACTGTTCCACTGGAATTCTCACTCTGGTAGGTTCTGCCATCCTGGAAGAGCTACAAATCTAGCTTTAGCAATAGGTAACATTTGCTTATAATAACTAATTTATCTAAAAATGATGAGGTTCTTTACAAGTGGGTTGGTCACTAAGTGATACATGTTTACCCTTAGTGACCTATGAAACAAAGAAAAATACAAAATGGTTCTGTCTAATGTGATCCCCTTCCACCTTTGAAGTGATAATAGTGGTGTAGCTAAAAATGAGGGGAAAGGATGCTAAAAACCACATAGTTTAAACTGTTGGTACTCTTCTTAACTGTTGTCCAACAACAAATGAGTGAACGTATTGTGGGAGGACTGAAGAGAACCACGTTTCGAATATTTTCACTATAAATGCAGTCAAAAGACAACTGAATGGAGGGTTGGCCTAGATATTTTCCTTGGAGAGGCTAATATAGGAGTTGGTGGAGTTAGTTTCATTGTATACGCAATGATAACAGGAAATATATTTTTTGTGGAATACTTAGTGTGAAACCTTAACAGTGCTCGTGATGGGTGGAAACCAAAAAAAAAAAAAAAAACAACTGAAGATAACTAGCATACATACAAATGTTTATGACAGAGGATAAAGAAGGTACAGGAATTCTAAGGAGCATTTTATAAGATTCCTAAACACTGTCGATACTTGTCCACAATTTGTAGTCAGTTCAACATCATTGCAAGAACACCATATTAAATGTGTGTGTGTGTGCGTGCGCGCGCGCGCGTGTGTGTGTGTGCGTAGCTTGGTATCAATGAAAATGCTTATTTCCCAACTTGAAAATTAGAGCTCCCTATCTTTTCAGGAAGTTTTGAACCCAGATCTTTCTAGCTCATTGCCTTGGTTATCTGCAGCATTTATCCTGCAGCATATGTGTACTGATGAGCTACGGGTTTAATTTTCCTTAAACAAAGGGGCTCAGGTCCCAACTCTACCTTTTATTAGGGACTGTTTTTATTTATTTATTTTTTCTTTGCCTCTCCAATACTTAGCATAGCACCTGGCTCATAGTAAGTGCTTAATCAATACATGTTGATTGATTGAACAATTCGTCATTGGGGATGTTGACTCAGCAAAGCATTTTATCTTCCTCTTAAGTTTCCTTATCTGTAAAATTAAGATAATAATAGTTGTATTACCTATTTCATGAGGTTGATCATAAAAACTAACAATAATGAAAAAATGAAAATGAAATAATAATTGACATTTGTGCTCTAAGAGTTTAAGAAGATCGGTAATACATTTTCTCATTTGATAATGTATGGTGCTTTTGTGAGCTGTAAAATATTATTTGAGGTGTAAGCTGTTAAATACTAGGGATTATGAGGATTGTAGAGGCAGCATAATAGAGAGTGCTCGATTTGGACCTACGAAATCTGGGTTTGGATCCCTGTTCTGACAGTTGGCTTTGGGTAAATTTTTAACTTTGGGTAAATCATTTTGACCTCTCTGAATCTCTGTCTCTTCATCCATAAAATGAGCATAATCATCCTTGCATTGCCTTCCTCGCTGGCATGTATTTCAGAAAGGAAATTGTAAAAAATAGTTTTTATTGTAATAAAAAATCCACTATTGTGGGCATGAAAAAAAATCTTTTCTAAATTGAGCATATTCTTTTAAAAAAACACTTTTATTTTTAGTTCCAAATTTTCTCCCTCCCTTGACCCCCTTCCTCACCTATTGAGAAGGCAAGAAATACAATACCCATTAGACATATGAAGTAATTCAAAACATTTCCACATTAGCCATATTGTGGGGAAAAAAAGCAAAAAAAAAAAAAAAGAAAATGAAAAAATATACTTCATTCTCTACTTAGAGTTTATCACTTCTCTGCCTGGAGGTAGATAGCATTTTTCATCATGAGTCTTTTGGAATTGTTGTAGATCATTCTTTTGATCAGAGGAGTGAAGTCTTTCACAGCTGATTATCATGACAACATTGATGTTACTGTGTACGGTGTTCTTGTTCTGCTCACTTCAAATGTGAAAATATTCTAACCAGCAATATGTGGGGTTTGAATATGTTCATTTTTAAATGAGAAATTCAAAATTTTATATTTCATTTGAATGGTATTCAACTCAATCCAGTAAATGTTCAAGCAAATACTCTGTTCAAGATATGGTATTTCCTAAGTTTCATAGATGACATTTCTCAGAGGAGTATGAGTGATCAAACTGGTTGGTTTTTGCTTCATAAGTCCCTCAGACCTTGGTTTAAAATTTTCTTTTAAACTTTCCCACCTTTAGGTCTCTGTTGGTGGCATCGAATGGGATTATATTGCCACCCAAGGACCTTTGCAAAATACATGTCAGGATTTTTGGCAGATGGTATGGGAACAAGGGATTGCTATCATAGCAATGGCGACAGCAGAAGAAGTGAGTACTGGTTATTTTCATTTGATTCCTTATTCACAGGATAAGCCTGCTTTTCTGTGGAGCTCTGTGACATTAAGAAGGAAATGCAGGGAAATTGTGGAGAACAGTAATCTAGTCACGTCACTGGCAAATACAGTATTTATAGCATCTTTTTTTTAAATGAAAATTTTCCCACATTTTTTTAAAGGAGGGTGGACGAGAGAAGAGCTTCAGGTATTGGCCACGGCTTGGTTCAAGGCACAACACTGTGACATATGGAAGATTTAAGATCACAACACGATTCCGCACTGACTCTGGTTGCTATGCCACAACTGGCTTGAAGATCAAACATCTTCTTACTGGGCAAGAAAGAACAATTTGGCATCTTCAGTATACTGATTGGCCTGAGCATGGTTGTCCAGAGGATTTAAAGGGATTTTTGTGTAAGTGATATCAACCTCATGCTTGAAGGCTATGGAGAGAGATAGATACTCATTATAATCACAACATGGTAACATCCAGAATAGTTTCACTTTTAAAATAAGGATCTCAAGTGTTATTGGAAAGATAGATAGGACAGCAAATAAAGGTGTAGTCTTGTGCGGCAAATACTCATTTTCATAGATTTAGAGCTAGAAGGAAACTTAGAGGTGATCTAGACCAAACACCTCATTTTATAAATGAGGAAAGTGAGGCCTGTATGGGCTAAGTGACTTGTTGCAGGGGACACAGCAGAGTCAGGATTTGAAACCAGCTCCTCTAAATCCAGCACACTTTCCACTACTGTACTTTACTGCCTCCAACTGAATAACAAGTGAAGTGGTTTCATAAGAATTGTATAGAGCTTATCACTAACACTCTCTTTCTTTCACTTTCTGTCTCTCTCTGTCTTCCCTTTCCTCCATCTCTGCCTCTCCCATCTATCCCTCTGTCTTTGTATCTTTCTGATTTTGTCTTTCTATGTCTCTCTCTCTCTCTCTCTCTTTCTTTCTGGCTCTGCTTCTCTCTTACTGACTCTGACAGCCTACCTGGAGGAGATCCAGTCGGTGCGTCGCCATACGAACAGCACAGCTGAACCTCAAGGCCCCAATGCTCCTCTGCTGGTCCACTGCAGTGCCGGTGTAGGAAGAACTGGAGTGGTCATTTTGTCAGAGATCATGATCGCCTGTTTGGAGCACAATGAGGTTGTTGTTTATGTGTTGAGACTTTTCTTGCGAAATATGGGGACTTGAGATAATAGGACCCTAGATTTAAAGTTGGAAAAAATAGCCCCCTAATTTTCAAGTGAGGAAACTGAGGCACAGAACAGTTAAGTGACTAGTAAGTGTATAAGGCAAGATTTGACCCCAGAACTTTGAGAGGCCTTGTCCACTGTGCACAAAGTCCCTTTGATAACAAATTAACTAGATACATATTCTTCTTAGTGAGTTGGGTCAAGAATGACTTAGACTCCATGAAGTCACTTGGTTGCTTTTTTTTTTTTTTGCTTTAATCTTGACTTTTTTATCTTTACTATGATAAATTATTTTTAGTTTTTCTTGCTCCCAAGAATTAATTCCGTACTGTATTTAATTGTTTTAAAACCCACAGATGGGTTTGCTTAATCAAATGGCCAAAGAATAGAAGCACAGAATCTTTTTAAAAACAATATTATTGATATCTTTTATTTTTACATCACTTTTATTTCTGATTCTATTTTTCCCTCTACCTTTAGCCCTTAAAGTACTTTTATTTCTGAGTACGTTCCTCCTCTCCCTTTAGTTCTTAAAACAAAGAATTTTTTTTTTTAAAGAAAGTAAAGGGCAGTTCAGAAAAAGCAATCTATACATCCTTGAGGTCTAATGGAGAAGAAACCATTCCATGAACTATATATGTGTGTGTGTGTGTGTGTGTGTGTGTGTGTGTATGTGTGTGTATATATATATATGTGTGCATATATATGTATATATATATACATATAGAGAGAGAGAGAGAGTCAGAGAGTCAGAGAGAGTGAGTCCTGACAGTCCTGACCTGAAGGAACTTATGGTCTAATGGAGAAGAAAACATTCCATGAACTCTCTCTCTCTCTCTCTCTCTCTCTATATATACATATATATGTATATATATATGTATATATATATACATACACACATACACACACACACACACAGTCAGAGAGAGTGAGTCCTGACAGTCCTGACCTGAAGGAGCTTATAGTCTAATGGAGAAGAAAACATTCCATGAACTATATACACAGAAGCTATATACAGTATGAATTAGAAATAATCAACAGAGGAAGGGCAGTAATATTAAGGGGGAACCAGGAAAGGCTTCTTGTAGAAGGTAAGGTTTTGGCTGAGACTCGAAGGAAGCTAGGGAAGCCAAGAGATGGAGATGAGGAGTGAATTCTGGGCATAGAGAACATGAAAATGCTTGGAATCAGGAGTGTCATATATGAAAGGCAGCAAGGAGGCTGTGTCACTGGATTGCAGAGTATTTGGGGTGGTGGTGTAAGGTACAAGAAGACTGGAAAAGTAGGATGGGATCATTTTATGAAGGATTTAAAAACCAAATACGGAATTTTTATATTTGATCTTGATGGCATTAGGGAGTCACTGTAGTTTATTAAGTGGGTGTTGGGGGAGTAACATGATCAGCCTTGTGCTTTAGGAAGCTCACTTTGACAGCTGAGGGCAGGATGGAGTGGAGTAGAGAGAGACTGGAGGCAGACAGGCCAACCAGGAGGGTACTGCAATAGTCTAAGCATGAGGTGATGAGGACCTGTACCAGGATGGGGGACATGAGAGATGTTACTATAGTAGAAACCACACGATCCCTGTGCAGGAATTAGCTTCCTGGACAGGTACTACTACTTCTAGAAATCATTTGACCCTATGGATTGTCATTATATTCACTGTGACTCATTTTCATGTTGTTTTTCATTTTTGATGCAACCAATAAAGTACTTGGTTTTTGAAGGTGAGAACTCAGTCCCTTTGGCCCCATTTGAGGTATAAAAAAGTTACTGTTTGCTGCATTCTTTGGCAAACCTAGAATGTGGTTAAAAAAATAAAACAGTTTGAATACCTGGTGTGGTGGCCCCTGGGTCACCTAATTAAAACTAGCAAGATGTGAGCATCTTTGGCTCTCCTTTTTCTGGTTTTTGCTCCTCACATTTTTCCCTGTCCTGGAATTCCCATCATACCTAGTGTGCCTTTTCTGATTTCACATTTTTCTTTCCCTAGATGCTGGACATCCCACGAGTGCTGGACATGCTGAGGCAACAAAGAATGATGATGGTGCAGACTCTCTGTCAGTATACTTTTGTCTATGGAGTTCTTATCCAGTTCCTGAGAAACTCAAGGCTTATATAACCTCCACCTGTTTCTCCCGGGACCCAATTACCTATAAAGAGTTTACAAGGAAAAAAAAAGTGGGTTTATCAAGGCAAACCCATTTGTTCTTGGGCTTCCAACCCCTCTCCCCCATTCTTCTTATACAAGGTGTAGGGTGCTAACGTCAACTTATGGTGGTGCATTGCATCAAGCCTTGGAAGTCACAAGGCCAAAGAGGTGGATTTCTGCTTGGGGGAAGTGCTAGAGAATTGGGGCCTTAGTTGGAGTAACTAAGCTCAGCTCCTGTCAGTGCTGATTTGCGGTACTTGCACACATTCTTGAAGTTGTGTTTTCTAGATAAAATAATTCTCTACCTTACTGAAACTATGCTGGGAAGTTCTGGCAATCATAAAGGCAATGTATAGATTTCTATTTCAAAACTGCTTTTTGATAAGAGAATTTTATTTTGTGACTAAAATATCTAGGGGTTTCTTTAGTAAGAAGCCTGGCTTTCCATGGGACTTGTCCACAATTACAACTGGTTTCTGGACACATCAAGTTTATATATTTTTTTAAAATGTTACTATCTTTTCTGTTTATAATTTTCTTTTTGTTTGTTTTTTATTCTTGGTAACCTAGGGCTTAACTATCAAACTATAAACTACAAAAAGACTTTTAAATGGTCTCATTTAGGAGATAGGAAACTTCTTTTAATTCAGAAAATTAATTTTTAATTTTTCCAAGTTACAATTGAAAATGAAAAGATTCTTAAATTATTTTCAGGGTTTATTAAAGAAAAAGTTGGAATGGTCACTTAATATGTTTTAAGTAACAGAGTCAGCAGCATTTGATATATTTTCAGTATTATTCATAACTTTAGATGACCCTTTGATTTTACTGGTTGAAATTTTAGTGGATGAATAAGATGGTTTTAAAGCACTTTTAAAAAAATTAAAAATAATACATTTCAATTTCTATTGTTTTATAAGTTGAAATGTTAACAACAGTAATGAGGATGATGTTTTGAAACAAATGTTTTATAGTTTGAATGTAAGAAATAAGGATTTTGAGTATGTAGTATATATAAGATGTGAGGAAGTGCAACATGGTTGTGAACATTGGAAACTTTTAATATGTTGTTACAAAGATAAGATACAGTATTACTAATTTTGTTCTCCTATATTTACACTACTCCTGAGAGTATTGGGGGTGAGGGGAAATGGTTGAAAGATTGACAGGAGGCAGGGTCTTCCCTAGGGGGATTCAGGTCATGGGATAAATCATATCATGTTCTTTGTCTCCCCTTCCTGTCCAGCTTTTTATACAGGTGAAATCGTTGTGTTATGTACATCAAGAGCAGTCACAAAAGGGCATCTTGGAGGATGAGTGAAATGGCATAAGGGGAAAAGGTGGTTCCATGCTTTATGTTAAGGCTAGAGGGAGGATTATGGACTAGTTGTATGTATATGAAACGCCACATCTTTTATATATATGTGTGTATATACACACACACACACACACACACACACACACATATCTATCTATCTATCTATCTATCTATCTATCTATATATATATATACTCATTGCTATATCCTTCTCCCAACTTCCATTCCAAAGTTGTCTCCCTATGGCACCAACATCCTATCAATTCTCTTCTAAGGCCATCACCATGCTTTGGTCATTAGTGAGTGGCTTTGAATTCCAAGGTAAATCAGAGATGTGGCTTAATTAATCACTAATCAATAAGTGTGTGTCGTTGTCAATCATGGTAGAGGATTTACTTGAGGCAGTTTCATGGTGATTTATTTGCCAGTCTAAATTTGACTTACAAGAGACCACTTAAGTAGCAAAAGCACAATTTAGAAGCTATGAATCAAAACAGTTTGGAAGCAGGAACATATTATTGATTTCAACATCAGTTTTTTAAAAATTCTGTTTAAAGCACAACAGACCCAATGATTATGTTCAGTGATAATTAGCTGCTTGAAAGAATGGAATTATAATAATATTAATAATGGCTAACCTTTATATAGTGCTATAATGGTTACAAACAAGACACTTCACATATTATCTCTCATGGCAATTTTTCCTTTCTCTACATATGTTTGAATTGTTGTGTTGAGTGAGTTTACTTGTACATCTTTTCAGTGGTGGTGCTATCTTCCCTACTACCCTTCTCCTTCCAGTTGGAATCAGATTTAAAGCTTTTTGGAAGGAGTGTCCTATTGATAAGATATTACACTATGAAAACTGAATTTAAGGGTAATGCATAAGATGTCCTTTTCTTATTTTAATAAATTGATTACTAATGGATAAATTAAGAAATTAAAATGGCATATTTTAGCTTTAATAATTTACCTAAAATGTTGCACTTAGAACCCATGTAATGCTTTCTGTGCCCTTTGAGTATTTGAACATTTTGTGGTAGTTGTAAAAAGAGGTTAGTGGAAAATAACTATACTATGTATTCTCCAAATTTGTCTTCCAAACAATAATGCGATTTCATAGAGGATATAGCAAAAATACAGAGGTCTGTAACCTTGCCATGATGGTTAACTAGCAATTGATTGTATTACAGCCTGTCAAAAATACATAAGGTTTAAATTTTTTGGTTATTTTTAGGTTCTAAGTAAAAGATTTATAGCAAGTTTATATCAAATTATATACTTTTACAAAAATAGGTTAACATGCAGTATTTAACAATGACCAATTATTGTCACTGATGACATTACCCCTCTTTTTTTCCTGATTAGGGGTACTTTTGAAGAAATATTCTAGAGCATAGTTTTAAGCAGAGAAATGAACGTCTTATTTTAGAATATCATACAGATATTTATGGAAAAATTGATGATATTCTTCTGGAACATCTACTGTGAAGCATGAAAGTGAGCCCTAGAATTTAGTTCTAAGTTCTTAGAACGTTTTGATAGGAATAAATAAGGAAATCTGCTAGTACAAACTTCAGAAAGCAAAGAACACATTGTGCAGTACCCTTCCTGTCCCTGCTAAATTATAGGGCAATGGGACTTAGAGATTTTCAACTGTGTATTTCTTTTTATTTGAGTTTAAAACTGGCCAAGTTTTCTTTCAGCCTTTTATAACTATAAGTCATAGATTGAAGTGGGTTTAGTGTTTATACCTTTAAGAAAATGTATACGAAGTTGTATTTTGATTAACTTATTAAAAGCAGGCTTCATTTGGGACAATTTGCAACAAAGAACAGAGCTCAGTTATTTTCTTTTGCACAAATCTTTTTTTAAAGCTTAATTTAGGGAAAGATGTTTATTGGAAATATAAATTAGTTTGAGGATTTAATATAAATTAAAAATTAAAAATGATTTTTGAAATAAAAACTTTAAAAAGGTCAAGTTACAAGGAGTAATTTGTAGGGGAAAAAGTTACTCAGATGAGAAATATGATAGTTTAGATTGCAATGGGTATTCATTAAGGCATATAGCTTTCATTAACTATTATAAGAATATTAGGAAGGTTGGGCATTTCTAGATTTAAAAAATATATATATAGTGATTTCAAAAATTCAGTTGAAGGGATTTCCACATTGCTGATAAGATTAAATTAAAGTGCTGGAAAATTTTAGAAGTGTAGTGTATTACGTACATAAGCAAATGTTTAAGATGATGGCTTATTCTTCAAGACAATTAAAATAATGTTCCATTCTTAAAAGTCCAGAGAAACTTCTTAAAGTATCCCATAACTTTGGTGGGCTGTTAGGTATTCTACTACTTAATAAGAAACAAATAGTGACCTTAGTTGCTTTTTTGGGGGGGGCAGTGGGGGTTGTGACTTGCCCAGGGTCACACAGCTAGTAAGTATTAGGTGTCTGAGGCTGGATTTGAACTCAGGTCCTCCTGAATCCAGGGCTGGTGCTCTATCCACTGCACCACCTCGCTGCCCCCTGCTTTTTTTTTTTTAATCTTATTTTGGTTAATGAGCTCTAAACTCAGATTAATGGCAAGTTAAGAATGTTTGCATTTTAACCTGTTAAGTTTAGTCTCTACTACTAACAAAATGTTCCTAAGTTCTGAAGAAGCATACACTAGATAAACAGCTAGATATTATTAATGACTTCAGTACCTTTTAATAAATTATTTGTTTTGTCATATAAAAGACTATTCTGAAAATATATGAGCTCTTGACTTTATATTTATTCCTGGCTGCATCTGTACATTATTATTCTGTACTAGATTATAGTACCATCCTTGTGTAGAATTAATTTACAAGTTTATACCAAATTCGTATCCATGGCAGACTGAGAAAGTTTTCAGTCTATATAAAAGAAGCTCTAGCTGGGATGAATTGTTAAGTATGTGTATGGATACTACAGAAATTGTGTGTGTGTATGTGTGTGTGTGTGTGTGTGTGTGTGTGTGAGAGAGAGAGAGACAGAGACAGAGAGAGAGAAATTCCCACTACGAAAACTTGGGATGTGATTATCAAGATAGTATGCTCATTTAGGAGCTGGTCCACAGTTAACTAAAACGAAATTGAAGGATTTTATAATTACTCAGATAGTTCAGAAAAGCAATCTGTTTTTGCCTCAGTTATCTGAAATGACTGTTGAGACTGGAACAGTTTCATGGTTAAATGTATACCTTTCCACTCTGCTGAGATAGTATAATGGTGACCTACTTAGGTTTCATCACAGTAGATGTACATAGGAAAAGTCAAAACTTATTACTACACATGCTAGAGGACTATCCAACTTTTCTTGTTATACTGGAACTTTTTTTATTTTAGATTTCACTTGGAAAAATAAAAGAATTCATTTGGCTTGGGATTTGGAATTCTTTTCATTATGGATATAATTTTATAGTAGTAGTATTTGTGGTAATAGGATCTGCACTGTAATGATAGAATAGGTCATTGTAAATCTACAAGATCAGATTTTTTTTCTTCTTTGATTTTTTTTTTCTTCAGTCAGCACTGTATAGAGGTATATTGGATTACTTCCATAAAGCAGATTGGGCTGGACAAAAATTTCTAGGGAAGCTTAGTCTCCTGCTCTATGGACTTCGGCACTCATTAAAATATAGGTTACCTCATAGACCATCAGGAAAATGGTCAATTAACTTCTTTGGTAACCTTTTTCCATATAATTTTTTTTATTAGCAAAAAGAACCATTTTGAGAAGTTGAGTAGCCATTGGCATAATGCCTTTTAAACCATGATTTTAAAATTTGCCAAGTGATCAGTTTGTTTATTAGTTTATCCATACTTGGGGCCAGATTAAAAAGGGGTCATTTTTTAAAGGGCATTAGATTAGGAGGCTGGAGACTTGAGTTCTAATCCTGCCTCTGCCACTAGCCAACTAGATGATCATGGGCAAATCATTTCATTCCACAAACATTTTTTTATCTGACTTGATCTTAATATTAGTTTCCTCACTTGCACCATGAGGGAGTTGAACTAGATTCTCCATGAATTCTTTTCCAGCTTGAATTCTAGCCTGAATCCATGAAACCAAAAGTACGGATTAAAGGCCATCAGATTAACCATTGTCGATATGCAGTTGATCTGACATAGATGGGAACTTGTGCCTTTCATTTAGAACTAGCAGTTGATATTTGGAGCTGTTAAATTCTAATTTGGGTCATATTCGCCTCTGACAGAGAAGATGTCCTTGAACATGTCTAATTTCATCTTATGGGGACTTAGCTATAGCTCAATGTAGTATGTAACTAGTTTTTGGGGTGGTGCAGTAGCCTTTAGCATTTTTGGACTGTTTATCCTGTGGAAGCTGTAAAGGACATACTATTCCAGATAAAAATATAATGCTGAATTATTAAATGAATAAAAACAAGATTTAGATACCGATTTGGAACATACCCTTGCATTAGGATTCTATTACTGAATAGTTATGGACACTAATATAAATTTTTTGCACCATCAAATAATGGAGTTGGCATATCTCCTCAAACTAAACGTGGCAATTGGAGAGAACTTTAACTAAAGGAGGAAATTGTGGAACTTGGAACTTTTTTTTTTTAAATGCTAGCTCAACCAGTGGGTTTAATTATGTATTACATTTTTCATGATATTGAACAAATAGTTATAGATCTTGTTAATGGTCATCTTGAATATTTTTGGAAACAAACTTTCTTTGGTTAATAGCATCCAACTTAAAAGTTCAGTAGCTCAATTTTTTTCTTTGTAGGTATAAGCTGTTCAGGTTTATTAGTATTCTTCAGAATCTCTCAGCAACACATTCAAGTAAGAAGAAATTTTTGTTGCTATATTGGATAAACAATTTTTTTTGGAAGAGCAATTTTTAAAGATGAGTGTGTATTCAAACTTTGGTAGCCGCCAAGCAATTTGGTTGACTTTGCCAGTGTTCATTCCCTTTGATTCAATGAAGTGGTTAAGAAACTTAGTTTTAAAATGCTATTCTATAATAATAATTTAAAAAAGGTTAATGACATGAACTAGTCTTCATATGAGAAGAAAACAATTTGGTGTGCAAAGATGTTAATGAATTCAAGTGAAAGAAAATAGATGCCTATAGCAGGTCAGAAAGTTATTTTGTATATATTCTGTTACATGATTTAAAAAAAAGAAAACTGTTCAAATCCTACCAAATAGTATACTTTGTGAAGCAGGGTTTTAACAGTTTTCAGAGAGGGAAAAAAGCTTTCACTGGTAAATATTAGATAATTTCCTATAACTATTAACACAGTTTGTTAAATCTAATAGAAACCTGAAATTTGGAGAAAGTTGGTAGGATGTACAGTGGCCTTTAGAAATGCTTCCAGATCATTTAGGCCAGTGTACCAGTTTTCTTTTTCAATGATAGCACAAATGAGTTGTCAAGTATTATTTTCCACTTTAAAAAAAAGTTCTGTATGTTTCATTGTCTGGTCATTGATACTGTAAAAAATGTATAATCAGAACAGCTTTAATTATTGTAAAACTGAAATTGGTTTGTAAAGCAATGTGTAAATTGCATTTGATGGGCAGAAAAGCTTGAATGACTAAATGTAATATATGTGAAATGAATATATTATAGTCTATTTTTGCCATGAAAATAAATATTTGAAACAACATTTAATGTGTGGATACCATGTTACTAGTGCAACTAAAACCCTTTTGCACTCTAATTTTTTTTTCCACTCTGGGTATCAGATTTCAGATGGGATAATGTTCAGGACTGATTAATTCCATCACATTCTTTTCAAAACATTTGATAAAGATGTGGCATTTAGCAGCTATCATTTTATTCAATTCAAACATTCAAAATCCAATTTAATTCAAATTCAGTTGAAATTAAATGTTAAGCATGTACTATGTGGCAGACATTATATCGTGGATATAAAAAACGGTCATCTCTTCTCAAGCTTACAGTTTAGTCAAGCATAATTTATTTAGCAAAGTATGTATGCTGCACTAATACTTATCACTGTGGCAGTTAAACAATTATTGAATCTTATGTTTATCAGCAAGTTGATCAGGAATGCAAAGTGACATTTTTTTAACCCACTATAATTACATATAAGGTATTTCAACAGATTTTTTTTTTTCCATTGCAAAGTATACAGACTACATATTAGGAGGACAGTGACACATCTTGAGAGTTAGACAGTATGGTACCAGCTTCCAAATTTACAATAGACTAGAGGAATAACAAGGGAGACATAAAATCTACAGGCCACTACATACATGCAATAATTACAATAGTTATTGAAAGGGAGTTGATTAAGACTTCTTTTCATGAGCCCCAAAAGGGGTGGTATTTAATTATTGATGTGGAAAGTGACATACTTGAGAGAGAGAGAGGGAGCGAGCATTGGATCTGATGCAAGTTTGACTCCTGGCTCTGTTACTAACTCTGTGATCTTGGGTCGGGTACTTCTTTTACCCAAATTTCTACATCTCTAAAATGGGGTTAATAATTGTTATTGTGAGGAAAGTACTTTATAAATCTTAAAATTCTATGGAAGATATTCAGTTATTTGCCAAGTCATTTTTTTCTTCCTTAGTAATTTTGAATTATTTGACTCTTGATTTTGATTTTTCAGAGAACATGACACTCAATGATTTGCAGCCATGCATTATCGCCAGGAGAATATTGATATTAAACACAGGCATTTCTGATAATGAGCTTTTTGGTATCATTGAAAGCAATGTTATATCCCAGACATTATCTAGCCTACTCAATTCTGGACCTGGTTTGTTGTTTATGCATATTCATTTTGTAATCTATATTTGAAGCTGGACAGGTGGTTTACTGAATTAGCTTGTGTAGTCTAATTCCATGGGCTTTTCTCTCTTCTCCTTCATTTCCACTCCAGGAAAACATGCCTCCCCCAGGATAAACTCATCACCTTGAAATATCATCACTGAGAATGATCTGCCTTTGATACTCAGTACCTCAGCACCTTCAGCTGCCTCTCTCCTCTGATTGGAGGGCTAAGCAATAAACTTCTCCCAAAGCCTTCTTTTAGAGAAGGACTCAGAACTTTCCAACTCAATTCATTTTCCATAAGATGCTCTGCTTGGCTTTGATTCCATGAGTATCATTCCCTTCCTCTGGGTACCCTCTGGCAGCCCCCAACTTCCTTTTGTGTATTTCTCTTTCCCCATTAGATTCAAGGGACAAATATTTTTTGAGGTAAAATGTTTACTGTTCTCTTTCCTTTCCCTCTCTCTCTCTCTGGCCCAGAATACAGACTTCCACCTATTGTTTGTTATCTATTAAGATGCAGTCAGTTTCATTTGAGGGGGGGTGACATTTAGTGTTTATCTTGCCCCAAACTTTTGAGTAGTCAGCCTCTTTCATTACTTATTCTTGAATCATATCATCCGGCGTATTTTAACATGACCCTGTGCCCA